GCGGGTGAGAAGGTACCGAAGGGGGACCATGCAACAAAAACTAAAGCTGCCAGCGGGAGGCGGAGCTGGCGTCGTGGCGGTTCGGTGTGCGATCTGGAGCTTTTCAAGATGGCGCCTGATTTCTCCGATGCTGGACGGTCCCGAAGGACCCAAGCTGTCCCGTAGAGACGGCGACTATATAGGGCACGTCCTGTAGATCTCAGGGACATCACAAAGTCCCTGGTTGATCCAGGAGAAGTCCCTGAAACCAGCGACGGAGCGGCAGCCATTGAGACTGCAAAAGCCGGGACAGCTCCAAATGGAAGAAGAAAGTGTGTCAACCGGGTGAGATGGACTTTTACTATTTAACTTTGCTTAGAGAACACCCTAAGTAATTTAAAGTGAATTTACAAAAGTGAAGAAAAGTGGGACTAAGCAGCGAGATCGAGCCTCTAAAAAAAACTCTAGTTTTTTAACTTTCCCTTTTTATGGACTTGAATCTGGCAGAGTGTGGTTTGTTTTATTTTTAAACTCAACTGGACTGGCTTTTCTGTTTGATATTTAATAATTTGTGATTTTAAGCGTTAGGATTAAGATTTTTCTTTAGTGCCCTAAGAAACATATTGGGGTGGAACAGTGAGCTGGGAAGTCACAAGTGAAGCACAAGAGCACAGTCCTCTGCAGAAGCAGAGCATGTGGCAGCAACAGACGCATGTAACGAGACTGTGTGGCTTAGATTGTTGCTTGCAGACATGGGTATAGACGAACCCACCCCTATACAAATCTTTGAAGAGAATCAGAGTTGCATCAGACTTTCACAGTCAGAGAACGTAGGTGGGAGAACTAAGCACATTGATGTAAAGCATCGTGTGGTGAGAGAGTTGCAACGACAAGGGCTAATCCAACTAGACTACTGTCCCACAGGCAATATGACAGCGGACATCTGCACGAAGCCGTTGTCGAGAACCAGATACCTGGAACTAAGAGAGAAACTAAATGTTGTTGGACACGGAGACAGGCAAGGTTGAAAAGAAGGGGTGTTGGAAAATATGGGGTTCCAACCAAGCCTGTCTCACACGAGCACAAAGCGGGGGGCGGCTCCGCTGCGGCCTAGCTTTGCGGATCCCGCCTTTTTTCCTGTTTCCCTCATTTTTCCCTCTTCTCCTCATGGCTCTCCACGAGGTAGGGATGAATCCTCTCTCCTCCTCATGTTTTCAGTAATAACATTTCACAACCTCAACACTCATGAGGCAGAGTATTAACACAGGTTCTGTGTACGAGGAGAGATCCTGGCTCCCTCCCAGCCAATTTTCCATGGAGGGCAATATTTATTTCTGTGCAAATTTGGTCTACAGGCCTTCAGAGATCCCTACTTGGCAAATAGGGATTTTTCCAAAGTTTTCTCCATGAATGTCCCCACTTTTAGGGAGCAAGTGTTAGGCAAACATGGCTGTTCAGAAAGAAAGAGGGCAGAAGAATCTCTCCAGCGAAGGCAGCTTCCGAGAACATGTAGAGCAGGGCTGCGGTCTGGGCGTCAAAAAAGGCCACCTGTCCCCCTTCACAGTTGAGAGAGACTCGGATCCTCTTCAGATTCGTAGTCAGGGACAGTTTGGTGTATATTTGGGAAAGGCTGGCCCTGTATTTCCCTCCCCATTTCCCAACTTCCCAGATCCCTTCCTCAGGACAAGGATTAAGGTAATCCTTTCTCTTCACTGACTTTTTGGCAACGCCAACAGCCCATCCCCCCTCATCTCCTACAGTGACTTCCCAGAAATGTCTCCCTGTTGAAAACCCCTGACAGCCAAGGACGTATCGGTCATTTTCAAATCTCTTTGGGTTTTCGGGAAGATATTGATATTTAACAATTCCTCTGACATCTTTACGATCCTTGGAGAGGGCGAGGCGAGAATGGGCTGTTTCTGGATCCAGAATTACGTTTGCTGTAAGGGGGAAGAGGAGGAAAGAGAAGAAAAAGAGCTTCAGTTGCAGGTCTGCTTTGAGTTGTGACTCCCAATACTGTACATCAAACCTGAGGCCTCCTCTCTGAAAGGAGTTCAGCTTCCAAACATCCCGTCCAGGACTGGAAGACTCACCACTTTTTCAGCCACACCTAAGCTTTGCCTGCTCCTTCTGATTCTTCCTGCTATTTCACACCCTCCCAGCAACTCTGCCCCTCAGTCTCATTAGCTTCCATCTTGCAGGTGGGAAGAATGGGGTTGGGAGCGAAGAGTGTTTGGCTTTGCCTTCAGTGCATTCCTGGGAGGGCCAAGATGTGAACAGGGACTCTGCCTGGAGCGTTAATCCAGAGGATCAGGCAAAGCAAGAGGCTGCTGGGTTTCAATTCTGAACTGGCAGAGTCAGAGGTGTCCCCAGAGGTAACTGAGGACATGATGGAAGGGAAGCGTGATGAAGCTCTGCCCTTTCTGCATGAGAATCATGCTATCACATGCATGTAGAAAAGGGGAGGATCTCGCGTAGCAACCGGGCACCTTTTGCTTTGGCCAACAGGAACTGATTCCTCTGCTCCCAAAGACATGATCTCTCACCAACTTATGGTCAGGCTGTGAATGTGACAGACTGCACAGCAGATTGATGACAGTAGTATTGAAGTAGAAAAGCACTCGAGGAGCAAACCCTTTGCGAAGTGCAAACCCTATAAACCTAGGGAGTGTTTTCTCAGGTCTGGTGCTGAGAAACAGTTGGGCAACCTTTTTAAAATTCATTCAGCCTGTGCAACCTTTGAAATTTATTTGGAAGAAGTGCTTCTGATCTCACATGAGGTCACAGCCTCTGTACTAATTGTACTAATTTTCCAAAGGACATGCAGCCTAAAACCTCACAAACCCTTCTCACTCCTGCCACCCCCCCCTCCCAGACACAGATCGTGGCTCCTTTGTGCTGAGGAAGCCATAATCTGCAGGCTGCCCAGGTCTCTAGAGAGGACCATCAGAAGCCCCTGGAAGCCACCAGCTCTCCACAGGGCAGCTCTCGTGGGATGGGAGGGAAAGCCCCTTTGACGGTCCACCCTCAGCAGCAAAATATCCAGGACAGCCCTGTCTGGCTCTGCCTTCTTGCTAGCTGCTGGCAGGAACAGGGCTCAGCTCTGCTTCTGGCACCAAAGCGTCTTAGGAAAAGGGTATCCCGCTCTGAGGGCAACAGGAAGAACCACACCTCAGCCATAATATTGGGGGGAAGTCAAGAAGGTGCTCAGGGCAGCCAATGGCAGCCTCTTCTCGATCACACCCACC